AATGGCAAATTTTCATGAAACACGTACCAAATCTGACTGTAAAAAGGTCCTGTGACACTCGTTGGGAAAGGAAATTGGAAAGCATAAAAGCGCTTCGATATCAAATTATGGAAGTTCAAACTGCATTAGTTGAACTAGTTGAGTTGGTTCTAAGGATCCAAAACCCAATAGTGAAACACCATCAGTTATAAATGAATTAAGTAGTTATGAGTTCTTACTAACTCTATGTATTCGGTTTTATGTATTGCTTGTGTTAAACAGTGTTAGCAATGGCCTACTGACTTAATAAATGCACCTTGGAGTTGCGTCGCAGTTACTTCAAGGGCTAATTCAGTTTTTTCAGAAATTTGGAGCTGAAGTTTTTGTGGTGGCAACATTGGTAGCAAGAGAACTTAGTGAAACTCTTGGTGTAGAGACAAATTTCAAAAAAGTCCGGCAGAGAAAGAAAAGAAGAATGTTTGAGTACGAGGGAGAAGATGATCAAGTAAACAAATAATCGAAAATTCGGCAGAATCTGCCAAGCAAATGTTTAAAGTGGAGTATTTTTTTGATATTGCAGATACTGAGTTACAGTCCTTGAAAAGAAGGTTTGAACAAATAACTAATTACGATACTATGTTTAGATTATTGTATCATGTCAAAAAACTAAAAGCAGTAAAAAAAGACAAATTGTTTCAAAAGTGTAAAGATCTAGAGTTGTTCCTAAGTTTTGAAGAAGAAAAAGATGTTTGTGGAAATAACCTTTTTTCTGAACTTAAGGTTCTTCGAGAACTTCTACCGGCTGAGTTGGAAACTCAAAACCCATTTCCTGACGTATTTATAGCGTATAGAATTTTGGCAAGCGCAGAAAAGAGTTTTTCGCGCGCTTGTACACGACGCACCCCCTATGAAATATTAATAATTGTCACCAAAACTGTCCCAATTCTCACGGTCAATTAATGAATGTATATTTAGTTGTGTTAATCCCTATTTATTAGTCAAAACTTTTATATTTAATTCTATTCATCAATTATGATCAATTGAGGAAATTACACTTTAATTAATTAAATTAATTAATTTTACTTGGTTAGTAAAATACCATTTTCGATAGAACGTGTTTTAAACTTAAGGGGGTGCGTCCACTGATCTCTATAATAACTGGATAGCGCATCACCTAATAAAATTTCAAAATTTTTGAAGCCAAAAGACGCCATATTGGAAAGCCCCAGAATTTATAAATGCGTAGTTGCGTTAAACTTAAATGCGCTTAAAACTCAGATTTCGCTTAATAAATAAAAAATGCAAAAACCTTATAAATGCATTGATTATTAAAAACCGAGTAAATCTGATGTTATATGTTCAGATGATTTCATGGAGAGTGACATAAATATACATATATATATATATATATATATATATATATATATATATATATATATATATATATATATATATATATATATATAATATATATATATATATATATATATATATATATATATATATATATATATATATATATATATATATATATATATATATATATATATATATATATATATATATATATATATATATATATATATATATATATATATATATATATATATATATATATTATATATATATATATATATATATATATATATATATATATATATATATATATATATATATATATATATATATATATATATATATATATATATATATATATATATATATATATATATATATATATATATATATATATATATATATATATATATATATATATATATATATATATATATATATATATATATATATATATATATATATATATATATATATATATATATATATATATATATATATATATATATATATATATATATATATATATATATATATATATATATATATATATATATATATATATATATATATATATATATATATATATATATATATATATATATATATATATATATATATATATATATATATATATATATATATATATATATATATATATATATATATATATATATATATATATATATATATATATATATATATATATATATATATATATATATATATATATATATATATATATATATATATATATATATATATATATATATATATATATATATATATATATATATATATATATATTATATATATATATATATATATATATATATATATATATATATATATATATATATATATATATATATATATATATATATATACATATATATATATATATATATATACATATATATATATATATATATATACATATATATAACTTATATATGTATATATATTATATATATATATACATATATATAACTTATATATATATACATATATATATATATATATATATACATATATATATATATATATATACATATATATAACTTATGTATGCAGGGTGGCCAGCCAATTTCAAGACATTTTTGTAAATGCCATTAAACCTTTTCACAACATCAGAACATTTGTATAGATATTGCAATTACAAAAGAATATATTAAAGTAAAAAACTGCAAATAAAATAATAGTTAGCTCAATCATCTTGAACAAAATAATCATTGAATAACTTGTATAAGCATTGAATAACAAAACAAACATGAATAAAAAGGTATTATGTGGTAGGGAAAAGTAAAAAAGTATGTACACTTAGAAAAAAAATTGTTCACCTTTCATTTTGGTCTTTTATGTTGCTTATTTGTTTTCACAAGAAATATTTTTAATATTTATTAATTATACAACTAATATCTATCAGTATAAAACTGATAGATGTTAGCTGAATCATTATTATTTTACTTTAGAGTCGATAGTTTTAAAAAAACTTGAAAGAAACCATGTCTGTTTTCATTTATACCATATTTACATATACACAATCAACATGTATGTGATACTGTTAGTCTAAAACACTAAACACTTTAATGTAAAACTGCAAATAACTAGTTATCACCAAATATCTAGTGTTTTTTAAAGTTAGAGATGGCTTTGTCAAACCTTCACAAAGTGTAATTAAAGTTAGCAAAGCAACAGAACAAAATATTGTTATTAAGTGATATCAATTTTAATAAAGTATTGCATAGTTGATGATATATCAGTTGCGGAACAATATAAACATGTCCTCGGAGTCTCAAAAATTAGAAAACCATTTACAAAAATGTTTGATACAATGTATTTATCATGTTTTATACTTGTAAAGTTACTTTCCAGCTACTATTGCTAAGTAAGGTCGCATCAAGTTGTAAAAATAAACACCCAAAAGTAACCAGATTAAATATTAATTTGTCTTTCAGAAAATTTTTATTTAGAATATCATAAATTCAATAAATTTAACAAGTTCATAGAAACAAATTTTATTATTTCTTTATAGCGATATTTCTCTTCGTTGTTAATGTTTTGTGTGTTTTTGATTCCCTTTTATAATTTTTACACCTTCAAACATTTTAAATATAATAATATTATTGAAATATGTGACTTGGTCGAGTAGATATAAACGAAGTAAAAAGGTACATCTTCAAGCGCAATCACTGTATTTTCGGTGTTCTGGGGCTTTCCAATATGGCGGCCGTACAAAAAATTGGCTTCACTTTTGATAATAGAGATGCGCTATCCAGTTATTATAGAGATCTGTGGGTGCGTCGTGTACAAGTCCGCCGAGTTTTTCACTCTTGAAAATTATCAAGACATATTTAAGGTCGTCCATGGGTCAAGAAAGGCATCCCTGGCAACGTTATTATTTGAATCTGACTCAACAGCCAAATCTATTTTGATGACATTATTCAATAATGTATACTAACACACACTAAATGACCAGTACATTATTCAATAATGTATACTAACTCACACTAAATGACCTGTATTTTTCTTGCTTTCATTGCAGCGAAGTCGTCAATAATGATTATTGACGACTTCGCTGCAATGAAAGCAAGACAAGTACAGGTCATTTAGTGTGAGTCTAAGTATTGATATCTAAGTTTATATCTTTTTGACGCAATTTTAAAAACTAATCTAACCATGGGCAAATGTTTTTACAGTATTAATAATACTGTATTATTTTTTTATTGGTAAACAAAAACAACTTGTTTTTATTAATTATTATTTTTCATGATTCTATAATAGAATCTATTATAAAATTATGTTCTGTTATTTTACAGATGTGAACACTTATTATGTAACATCTACCATGAGCACCCTTTATATCGATTGCTGAAAACATAATATGTGCAAATGACATTACTATTTTGTAATAATATGTTATATTATTTATAATTGATTATTCAATAATAACCCAACAATGATAAATTCATTTGTTATTTAAATTCATTTATTTCTTGTCAAACAAAAATTATTTATTTTACATTATTTAGCCCATAATAACTTTAAGAGTAAACCTTATTGTTATTATTCCAGGTTATTTCATAAAGCACTCAGTTCTTTTTATAAACCTACATGAAAATAACAACTCAAAATTATACCAACCTGGAATTTATGTTTTGCACTTACACAACCCCTTTCCAGACAGTAAGAGATTATACTTTTTCTTTTTCAAAGCGCTTGAAATGATGATTCAAGAAGGCCTCGCAAAATTGTTTTACTCCAGGGCTCGCATTTTCTAAGGACAGCTTTGGTATCTGTGGTTAATTACGAATAATAATTAGGTAAATTTTGAACTTCCCTGTAGCTTAAAATGAGTGTATTACATCTTAATAATAATAAAATGTATTATATCTAATAATAACTCTTAGAGTTAATTCTAAGAACAATCAACTATTGTAAAAAATGCACAAGTTATCCTTCAATTTTTTACAACAGTTGATTGTTTTGAACAGTTACTTGTCTATCGACAATTTTTTTTTCTTAGTTTTAAGGTACAGTTACTTTGGGATCTTAGTAAGTTTGGGGCAGGTAGAAAAATTTTCTAAAAAATAATAAACATCCCTTCCCATGTATTTAACACCTAACAGTATCGGCACTTTAAAATATACTGTGTTTTATTTTAGCGAAAAACAAGATGAGGTGGATGCAGTTTCAGGATTTTTAGAAAAAGGAAATAGCTTAGATATTAAAAATGATTTTTCAAATTTTCTTACAAAAAAGGTTATTAGATTTTATATAATAAAATACAACAAAAATATTGATTCATAAAATAAAATTTGTTTTATTTAGCTAAATCAATTTTATGCTTTCAAAATCTGTTTTAAAAGAAAACATAAAACAGTACTTTATAACTTTACCTTTTTTCTAATTATAGGACAAGTTCTTTCCACAAGCTATTTCAAGCAGTAATATGACATTTGATCCAAACTGGATTGCCTTAGTTATCTTTTACATGAGAGCTTCTTCATTAATCCATTTGGCATTAATAGATCCAAGTCGTTCTAAAACAAAGGTATTTATATAGTTTAGTAAAGATTAGTTAAAACAGCTGAGCAAAAATGAGCAAAAAAACTTTTCTGTTATATGCTTTTTTGCAGAAAATGTAAATAATATTTGTGAATACTTCAATTAGGGTATGGGAATTTTCTAAAGCTAAAGTTTTTATAATTAAGTCTACTATTGCTAATTTAAATCAATAACTAAGTTGTATATTAATTAGTTCCTAATAAAATATATTATGTATTGATGTGTTAAACTTAAATTTATCTAAGAATATTCTTTATTGAGCTATAATATCATTAAACAAACTGGGTTATAAAAAAAGTATATTTTTCATTTTTTATGTAGTCGCACTTATGCCATGTCCTACCTATTAGTCAGTTGGTGTAGCAGCACTTCTTGTATGTTCTACCTATTTGTCAACTGATGTAGCAGTACATTGCTTCTGGGTACTTAAAAAGGTTTAACAGCTCCAGCAGACATTTTAAGCGAATTATTAACACTGTTTAAAGTCGAAAGTAACACTTCGTCTGATCATTTCATATATTTACAAGCTGGTTTAAAATTATTCTTATTGCATATTTGTGCTGGTCCCAAATTTCTTTAGATGTTTTGAAATTTTAGGATAGCTGGTGTTTGCATGTGCCAATCTTTAAATAATAAACTGTTAAAATTTTTATTTTGAGATTGATTTCTGGCATTATTTCATTTGCAAGTGATCATACATGAATAACTTACTTTAACCACTGATTAACCTAATTTTAACTTTTTTTTTAAATAAGCTTAAACATTGCTAGATTTTGGTTTTTCTTTCAGTTATGGAGTAGTAAAGTGGCAAAACACTTTTTCCCCTTTTCTACTTGATTTAGAAAACATTGCTTTTTTAGTACAAAAACACAAGTGATGAGGTTTGTCAAGTATTTTATCTTTAAGGTTCGCAGTATGCTCATGATAAAGTGATTTATTTCTATAATAACTTATGATTTAGCTGCCCCAACAAAAAAAAATCTTTTAAAAAATGGCTTCGCTTTACTTCGTCTTGTGCTATTTTTTTAAAATCATGTTAATCACGAATCAATGAAGAATGAACCAATCAGAAGACAAAGTCTAAAATCTGATCTAAACATTAATCTTGACTAATAAGTCATTTTTTTATTTTTATTGTTTTGATGAGAATTTTTTCTTTTTTAGAGACTAAATAAATGTGCACTTCATCATGAATTAGAACTACTGAGAGGAGATGTTATTGGAGCAGCTAAACATCTGTATAAGTTAAGGTATCAACACACCATAAAAGGTGAGCAATATAATTATTAGTGATGTATCAGTTGCATTAATGAGTTTGATGATGATAAAAATAGACAAAAAGTAAAAAACTTAAACTAAAAAGAAAACAACTAAATATTCAAAAACATATAAAACAAAACACGTATTACTGATCTTGAATAAAAACTTTGAAAAAATCCTTTGAGATCAGCATTGAATAAAAAACAAATTGTTCCAAAGAAAAAATTAAATTTAAACAGCAGTTAGTTTGCACCTTTGCTTTTTATTTTTAAGTTAATTTACCTCCCAAAAGGCCATGAAAGCCACTACAGTCGAGGAAGCTACTTTAATTGTGGTTACAACTCTCTCCCAAATCTTAAGCCTTGATAAACAAGGTCGCTGTGCAGAGAAACAAATTGAGTGTGGTACTACCAGGGATGTGGTGAGGATTGAACTCAGAACTTCTCGCTCATGAGGCGAGTGCTCTACTACTACACTACTACCCCATTGTTGACAATTACAGCCAAGTAAGGGGCTGTTCTTTTTTATTTCTGTAAAACTAGTAATAAATAATTAAATTAGCTGCTTATAATTAAAAAAAAAACAATCATCACAAGCTTTAAAATTGAAAAAGTTTGAATCAATAATCATTGAAACAATTCAAAAATTCAATTTCTGAATTGTTTCAAAAGGAAATTCAAATATTGATGCTTTTTTCAAAAGACCCAAGAAAACCAAAATAATAATGCAGGATATCCACACAATATGGAGGGCTAATATGCCCAAATCTATCTGACAAACAAGATTCTGAATCCTAATAAGATTGACATCTGCATTATTTATTATTTCCACATCTACAACAATATTAGATTTTAATACTAGGTTGTAGCTCTAATATATCTGACTTTGATTTATAACAAATATTTGAAATAACTCTGATTTGTTGCAAAAATGAATTGGACTTTAAAAACTAGTTTGATGGTTGACTGTAATAAAAGTATGATATATTATGGTATTTATTTATAAATATTGGTTGAAGCTTGTAAACCATGGTAATAACTTACATAATAACATTATGTAAGTTATTACTATAGTTTACAAGCTTCTACAACCTATATTTATAAATAATTTTATATCATTAAATTTTAAATCAGGGTTTTTCTCCTCCTAATTAAGTATAATATAGGTATTAATATAAATGATTTTTTGTGTTGATCACATGATGTTAAAATGTTATATAAAAAAATTCACAAATATTAAGTAACACAAGTAAAAAAGTTTAACATATAAAAAGTAAACAATATGAAAACAACTAACAGTAATTTTTAATGTTATTAATGTCAAAATAGAAATATTTAAAAAAACCTTTTTACAAATATATTATGTATAGTTATGGAAGGTTATGATAACCTTACATAACTATACATAATATATTCGTAAAAAAGTTTTTTTTTTTAATATTTCTATTTTTACATTATTAACATTTAAATATGCTGTTAGTTGTTTTCATATTGTTTACTTTTTATATGTTAATTTTTTTTACATATGTCCCTTTATATTTGTGAATTTTTTAATATAACATTTTAACATCATGTGATCAACACGCAAAATCATTTATAAAAAATATTTTACTGATTATAAAAATGTTTATGTCTATAATAGATTATTATATTATAGAATGATAGATTATTAAATAGTCTTACTATAACTCAGTTAAATCATTTATAGATGGTTTAGAAATGTTTTTAAATGTTTTTTATATAATTTTTTATTCTTGTAGTAATATGGAATAATATGACAAAAGTTTATTATCTTTTACTAAAAATGCTAATGTTTACATTTTTATATATCTGTGTCTAAACATGTTGCTGAATTTAGTTATTTTAATAAACTATAAACCTTTCTTACATTACAATCTAAACAACGTGTTGTATGTTCTGTAAGACCCATTATTTTAAAGTTGTATATGCAATAAAAGCAACATATGTTACATCATTAACTATAAATATTGAATACTGCTTATCCAGTATGTAGATTCAAAATATGAAAAATATGTACAATTTTATGCTAAGTTGTACAACATTTCTATTATATAATTGCTCTCAAAACATTAACAAAAAATAATTATTATATAATTTTTTTTTTAAATATATATATTAAAAAAAAATCATATAAAGATTAATTATTTTTTGTCAAGACTAATACACTTTAAAAATGTATTAGTCTTGATGTACCAAAGTTTTTTTAATACTTAAATTTTTAAAATTTTTTGAACTCTAAATAAAAAAAGGGCCCTTTTTTTAGCCACAGCTCAGAGCGATATCAGATGTTTTGTTACTTTTTATTTCTAGAGACTTTGTGTTTTTGTTTACCAACTGATTCATTAAAAACTATATTTCTAAAAATCTTATGCTCATCTTTTTGATTGCACTAAATGTAAGCCGTCATTACAGGTTGCATCACATAGCATAATACACGCACAACACAAAGACCGTTTGTATACGGTCTTTAATTTAATTTTATGTCATTATTTTGGTTTTTATTATAAAGCTGTAAATAAATTAAATTGTGGAATATATCAAAATAAATTTTTTTTTAGGTGCAGGTATTGGAAACTTGAAAGATGTACCTGAAGGCGTATTACTTGATACTTTTATGGTTCCTAAATATAAAAAAAAAAGCGACACACATGGATATTTATCGTAAGTATCAGTTTTTAGTAGTTTTTATTTACATATAATTTCATATGTGTTTTTAAATGAAGCTAGAGTGCAATAGGACAGCTACAGCTGGAACACTAAAGTTCATTAAAACTAATTTTTGTGTAAAAATGTATTAGTTAATCTAATCCAAGTTGAAAATAGATTTTGAAGGTTTCATATTCATTTATTTTCAGATTAAAAAAAATTTTTTTTTAAAATAAAATAGCAACTTAAGTTCAAGCAAACAATAAAAACAATATTTTTCAACTAATGCCTTTATAATCAGGCTGAAATCCTCTAAAAAAAGTGTCAGATCAGTGTTTCATGTTGTTTTGTAGAAAAGTTACCTGATGGTGTTTGTATTGTTTTGTATTGTACATATTGTATTGTACATATTCTATTGTATTGTATGTATTTCATTGCATTGTAGGTGTTTCTTTGTATTTTGTGTATTTAACTTAGTAATTTGTAGTAAAAATGTAAATAAATAGATAGTGATATAAACTATTATAAATTTTTTTTCAGTTTTAGAAATATTATTAAAATTCTTGCAATGTAACTGAAATTGGCATTTTCAGTTAGATTGCAAGAAGGTACTTGGTTGTTAGGATGAAAAACATAACTAAAAACAACTAAGGACAGAAGTAGATGCAAATACTACAGCATCTGCTGTTTTTGCAGTCCAGTACTCTAGCAACAACTGCAAAGATAGTAGAGATGATCACAAATGTGATATTGATACAGGCTTTCCGAGGAAAGGCGTGCGGTCACACGCCTTGTTTTTCCACGCATAGAATAAATTTTTCTGACTAACTGATCACGTTTTATTATTATGCGTTTCAAGAATTCGCGCCAAAACAAAGCTAAACGAAAATACCGCAAAAATGCAAGCAATCTTAAAGTGAATAACTGAAATCTGATTGTGCTTTAAAATTAAAAAATTAATGCATATTATTAAAAAAAAAATTTACCTATAATTTATTTATTTATTTAGGTGGTAGTTATTTAAGCTATGAAAAATCAAATCAATAAGAAAAATCAAATCAAAAAGAAAAAGATTAATGCTTAAAGAAAATAAAAGGACCTTTTAATGTAAAATTTGTTTATGACTTTTATCAGTCAGTAATACTTTAAAATTCACGATAGAACTATAAACAATTTTTAAATGTTTCGTAAATACATTTAAATGATTAAATGTATTGATTTTAATGTTTGAATGTATTGATACGCAAGAAAACACGAAAACGATTGCTATTTATTAGTAAAATATGTTTTTTTTTTTTTTTTAAATGAAAGAAAATGTTATAGTCAAACGATTGAGTTGCTTATTTTGCGATCATTAATTAACATTGTGAACGAGTGTTAATATATAATAATGTCCCGAAGGAACTGTTTTCGTAACAATGACAACAGAAGCAATGCAATTATTTTTTTGACTTCTTTCGTAATTACAAAATTATGCAATTGAATAATTTCAACGTAATAAAAGGCGAGCATTGACTCAGTAAAATCAGTTTAGAATAAGTCGAGAACTTTTTTCACATTAAAATTTTGTTATGTTTAAAATCTCAAGTAATATATTTAATAATTAAAACAGCAATTTATTTTCTTGTCTAAGTATTGGGGAATAAAGTCATTGCCTTTGCATAAACCTTCGTAAAAACTAAATTAAATGAAAAAGTTTGACCAAATTTGTCTAGCGTAAATAATGAATCAATTTTTTAATACATTGTCTGATAAAGTTCGTGAATAAATTACGTATCAAGTCTTTTTATTTTCGTAAAAACTTTATGACTTATTGTCATCTTTTCCTTGACTTGTATCAAATTTCGTAGCTGAAAATAGCAACCCTAATAAAAGAAAACAAAAACAGTATAAAATTTTGAAAAAAATGTTCAAGACTTTTTTTTTTGTTACAAGAATTTTTTTTTTAAATTTTTTTTTATTATCGAAATATTTTTCTTACATCCAATTTCAATTTTATACTTTGTTTAGACTTCGTTTCATTTTTTAAATATTATTTTTTATTCTCTATGGATAATTTCCGCTTTCTTACAAAATATTGCCGCGGTCACATTTTCTGAAAAATTTATTCTATGCGTGGACAAACAAGGCGTGCGACCGCACACCTTTCCTGGGAAAGCCTGTTGATAGTCATTTTAAGATCAATACACTTATTCAGCAGACAGATCAAAACATATGGCGAATGCAAACATTCCATGCATTGAGATTAAAAATTAATGAAGAGCCATGCAACACATTGTCTATCAGGAAAGGCTTGTAGCTATTAGAAAAAACGACAATGTCAAAATTTATGGAATGTCTGTTTTTAAACTAGGGACAGATCAGAGAACTAGCTATCATGCTATAGTCATCATGCTATAGTCTGCACTATAAAACTGTTGCAATTATAAAACTATGCTGAGTCAATAACAAACATGACTTTTGAGTTCCATGCAGCAAAAAATTAGCTGTACATTGTTCTGGTCTGCATGCCATTGTCATGTTGAACAAATTATTTTTTCCATAAATTAACAACTTTTTTTCCATACGGTAATTTGAGAAACACCTTGTGAACTATAAGAAAACGGTTATGGGTCAAATCAAAAGATTTGACCCATAACCGTTTTCTTATAGTTCACAAGGTGTTTCTCAAATTACCGTATGGAAAAAAAGGGCAAAGTGAAAAAGAGTGCTGCTAAATTTTTTTGTTAAGAACCAACAAGAATACTGCAACTCAGAGAATTATGCTTTATGTACCTTGATTTAGAAAGCAAATAGTTTGATTTTTGTTTCCCACATTGGTTGAAACTTTTTTTGTTGCCAGGATGATTAATTATCATTGCTGCATAGCAGCAAATAGTTTCATCAGTTTTATGTTTCTGATATACTGTGCCTGGCAGACAACTTGTGGATCAGCAATTGATGCTTCATGACAAGATCTCTGTTTTTATCTGTTCTGCAATTTCTGAAAATAGTGTAAAAGCACTGAAAGGTGGTACTTTTGTTTTGAAATGATTCCCTATTATTTAGTCAGATTCCTTTAAAACCTGAATTGCAGTACTTAGCTGAGAAACTTCTGGCAGTAAGGTTAATGATGGAATGGCACTTCCACACAATCTAAATGTCACCGGCTTGGAAAAATTCAAGTTTTCAACTGAAATCGCTGCCACAATTGAGATTTAGTAACTGTTAATTAATGGTTTTCAGTCTTTTAGAGATTAAAATTTTTTTATGATGATGTTGAAAATTAACCTTAAAATGTATTTTAACATCAGAGATGAATACAATTAGTTTTAATATTGTTAATGACATTGCAGGTGGCGGCATGAAATTAAATGCAGGTTTTCTGGATGCAACCAAAACTGAGGAGTTACCAGAACATTCCTTAAGGTGTTAAAGCTGACAGAAAAAAAGTTCCAAGTCGGCTCAGCTGCAAGAAGAAATTAAAAGTATATTCAACCTCTAGGTTAAATAAATAAAATTTACTGTTGCACCTTTGTGTGATAATAGCAATGCTATAAATTTTTGTTGAATATTAGAAATATTGTAGTAATTCATTAAATTCAAAAGAACAGTTAGTTTTCAAAAAAAAAACTGTAAATAGTTTTTTTTTGAAAATAATTGTTAATATGTTTTAATAGCTAAAAGAAAATTTATTACTGTGAGATGCAGACCCATTTAACTGCCACAGAATGTTTTCAAATTTTTAAAGGAGTCATTTTTATGAAGTGGAACACAGAAATCGTAGGGCCTAAAAAAAATTGAAATTGAGCCTTTTCAAAGAAAATGATTCTAAAAAACAAAACACTGTTACAAAAAAATCTGTACAAGCATACATATGTACAAGCATACATATGTATGTATGTACATGTATGTATGTATGTATGTATGTATGTATGTATGTATGTATGTATGTATGTATGTATGTATGTATGTATGTATGTATGTATGTATGTATGTATGTATGTATGTATGTATGGCAGTATAATGTGTATTTATTTTTGTAAATTTGTACCTTTATATATCTATTTAGCTTCAGTGATTCATTTTTAAATGATAACGTTTCGGTTTCTTTACCTCATATCAAACACTTTTATTTTGACCTCGTTGTGAGAGAAAGCATCAGTCCGATGATTGAGCAAATGACTATGTTTTACAATAGCTTAGTTGGGAGCAACTGCGATGAGGTTTATAATTTATTATATTCATTTTAATAATGTTGATATATATATATATATATAATGTTGATATATATATATATAATGTTGATATATATATATATATATATATATATATATATATATATATATATATATATATATATATATATATATATATATATATATATATATATATATACTAGGTTGGTTGAAAAGTTCGCGGAGCGGCACCTATGTTGCAGTAGTAGAAACAAATTTATAACTGTATTAAACGTATTCATTCTTCGTATGAACGCATAAAAAATTTCAAGTCGATATGTCATTTCAGTCTTTGTTTACAAGCTATTGAAATTAGACGTGTCATAGTATTTTTTAAAATGGAAAATATTGAACATCGTGCTGTAATAAAATTCTTTGTGAAAAAAGGTTTAAAGCCCATGGAAATTCATAATGAAATGGTAAATGTGTTGGGTGATGATGCTCCTTCAAAAACAACAGTATGCAAATGGGCTGCGGAGTTTCAACGTGGGCGTTCAAGCCTTGAAGATGACCCTCGCTCTGGACGTTCAAAAAGTGCTACTACTGAAGAAACGATTAATGCTGTGCATGACATGGTTATGGATGATAGACGATTGACCAAACGTGAAATTGCTGAGGCTGTGGGCATCTCAGATGAACGGGTATTACACATCTTGCACGATGAATTACGTCTGAGAAAGCTGTTGGCAAGATGGGTGCCGCATTCGCTAACTCTGGATCAGAAACGCACTCGAGTAAAACTTTCTCAAGAACATTTGGCCCGTTTTCAAAAGAATAAAACAGATTTTGTGCGTTGATTCGTAACCATGGATGAGACTTGGGTTTACCACTATGATCCGAAGCTGCGACAACAAACTGCAGAGTGGACAGAACCCGGTTGTTCAGCTCCGAAGCAAGTGAAGGCGTCAAAATCGTCAAAGAAGGTTATGGCATCAGTTTTTTGGGATGCGAAAGGAGTTTTATTAATAGATTACCTTCAAACCGGTAAAACGATAACAGGTGAATATTATAAAAATCTTTTGGACCAGTTGGATAAAAAAATTCGTGAGAAAAGACCTGGTTTGCTGCATAAAAAAATAATTTATCACCAGGACAACGCACCTGCTCATATCAGCGATGTTGCAAAGGCGAAATTGGTCGAATTAAAGTACGAACGCTTGGAACATCCACCCTATTCACCAGATCTGGCTCCGTCCGACTTCCACCTCTTTCCACATCTCAAAAAATTTCTACGTGGAAAGCGTTTCTCATCACATGAAGAAGTCATTGCAGCCGTAAATGGGTATTTTGAAGGCCTTTCGGAATCGCACTTCAGAGATGGGATACATGAATTGGAGAATCGTTGGAAAAAGTGTATTGCTCTTAAGGGAGAATATACTGAAGAATAAAGTCATTTTTTGAATCATAAAATTGTTTTTTCATTTCCGCTCCGCGAACTTTTCAACCAACCTAGTATATATTATAAAATAAAGTCAATTCACCTTATTTGGTCCCAGTAGACCACGATAAAATACCTAGGCTCAAAGTTACTGTTTAGCTGATGAAAGAGTTTTAGAAAATGCTTGCATATAAGTTTTAATGAGTTTTTTTTTCATTTTTTGATTGAAACTTTCGTAGTATTCAATAATTTTATAAAATAATCAAATTAACTTAATTTTAATCATCCAATTCATTAATTCTAACTGCTATACTTACTACAACTTTGAAAAAATTTCATAATTATTTTATTCTTTATTATAATTGCATTGTTTTAAAATGTTTTTTAAAAAGAAATACTGCTGAATACAAAAAAAAAGTTAATTGGTACAAGAATTATTAAAGTTTTGTTGAAAAAAATATATTTCAGAAGCAAAAACATAGCTATAAAGTGCTATAAATCTAAATATTCTTAAAGACTTGTTTAGTTGCTCATTTAGACAACTTCCGCCGGTTGTCTAAAAGCACCAACGTTGTGTCTTGGAGCCTGTCTTTGGAATGTGGCCTTCGGATGAAATCCTACACTAATATGATGTGTCTTTCAGCCCTGTCATTAACCACTGGTAATTGATGTACACTGAACACAAATGTCATGAAAGATCTATTGTTGAGATTTTTCTCCAAATTTGACATTTCTTCTTCTTTCCATGAAAGAAGAAGCAATGTCAAATTTGGAGAAAAATCTTTGATTATAATAAGATGGGGAAAAAAGAGATAAGACTCTTGAGAAACAAAGTCTGATAGCTTTGAGAAAAGACAGGCCTAAATGGTTCTGGTTGTTAAGAGGTTCTGGTTGTTCTTTGTCAAAGCTGTTCATCTCTGAAATATCATATTTTATCAATTCCACAGGAATATCCATCCTCTCTTTCTCCTCTAAGTGCTGGTCAGCTAAAGCAAAGATAACACACTGTGGTGTAAAATACCAAGTGTGTCTGAGAATACTAAGATTATAAGTTTTGCTAATCTTTCCGTATTTCTTGCAGTAAAGTGGGTCTATCATGATCTTTGATAAAATCTTGAATGCTTTAAGATCATTGCATGGAACCTGAGCTGCCATTAGACTCTTCAGAAAGAAAAAACAGGACAATCTGTTGCTTCCTGTATCATCTTAATATCATTGATATTGAGTTGCTTGTTGTAATTCTTGGTCATTTGCATTGCTAACAGATACATTAAATCAGCCATAAATCTTGCTTCATGATATTCACCAGGTTGTAGAAACATGAAGTTTAACAAATCTGCTCCGAGGTAAAAAGCTTCCAGTTTTTTTATCACCTCTATCAAAAGTAAGTTTTAAGAGCTGTCATACAAAACTGCATTGTTTCATTTGCAAGATTGTAAAAGAGGGTTCCAAGAGCAAACTCAGGTCTGTTCCAATCAAATTTCTCAATGTTGGCCAGTGTATTCACACCTTTTTCAATCTTAGCTCAAAGATCTTAATGTTTTTTGTATAAGGAATGACTGGGTCCCTTTGTTTCTCCCTGTAGTTCCATCATAACATGATGAACATGTTGTTCCATTATATGGTGCCTGAATTTAATAATATAATCATTTTTTGTAAAAGCTATCAGAAAAAATAAAAATAGAAAAAATGCATGTAGTTTATATAGTAAGACATCATACCTGCACAATAGCCAAAGAAATGAACAAGGTAGAGAATAAACTGCAATATTTCTAATCGTGCCATTATGTTTTCCAGTGTTTGAGCGAGTTGTGTCAGCACAACAAGCTTTTATTAATTTATCTGGTCTGTTGAGTCATAAAGTTCTACAAGACTTTGGATAGCCAGTGCTTGATCTTTTCCTTAGGAGGAGGTAACTTTAAGTATTCCCAGAAGAAAGTAAACTGGACTCTAGAGAGAAAACACTAATTGCCAACTTTTCTACTGTTTTCGAAATCTTGACCTCCATCCTGTACTGTTTTACCAACTTTGTTTCAAAGTGAAGAACAAGTTTTAAACCCCTTATCTAATCCATGTTATGCTCTCTTACTATAAATTCTCTATAATTTCATGGTTTTTTCTTGCTATAATGATACCTTAAAAAAAAAACAGATCTTTGTAATTTTTTAAATTATGTAACATTTAAGTTGTTTTAACTTAAAGTTTGATATATATTTGTAATATACTTCACTTTTTAATACATAAACTTATTTACCTTGTCATAAATGGAATCCACTTATCTAAAATCTCATTCAGACTTAGTTGAAGGCAATTCTTTGTTGAATTGTATAACTTTTTTTCTTTGCAGTAGGAGTCTCAAAGTCTTAATCATAATTTGTTGTACTACACCCACTGGAGGATTCCTGCTCAAAGTTTCTCAAAGCTTTTTCTTCTGCTTCTTTTTCCTGTAATTTGATTTCTTTTTTTGCTCAACAATTGCTCTCAGCCTCTCCTCCTGTTGCTTCTTTTACCATCTTCCACAGCAGGTTTTTCATCCTTCACTCACTTTCAGCAACTATTTTAGCAAATATTTTGTCATTTTTTTATGGCATTTTGACCATGTCCCCTTTTAAACATCTCTTCAAAAAAATTGAATCTTCTTTTACAGCCTCTTTACTTTATTCTAGGATCCTGGCCAATTAACTTGAAAATGTCTTCCTTGTGTATAGGAAACAAAAGATTGGTCTTGTCTAAGAAGTCTTGAATGTTTTGACTCATGGTTTGTTTGCTCATATCTAGGGTTCTCATCTTTAAAACTTTAATATACTGGGTATACAGAGCAATCATTCTATTCCTAAATTAAAAAATTACAACATTAAAAAATGTCAACATTTTAAAATATAGCATAAAAACTTATATGTAAATATATTTCACAAATAAATATGTTTCACAGAATACTTAATTTTTATGAGAAGAGATTTTTATATTTAATACTTAATCGACCGTTCACTCATGATAAAACTTTCATCAAAGCCAGCCTTGTTCCAAATGTTAACCAGCTCTCTTATGATGCACACATTTGATATTTCCTTTCTGCTATCAGCATAACACATACCACCACTGCTTTTATGCTTGCCTGTACTCCCCAGAGGACATTCAATTTTGGATGACAATGTTTTGATTGCAGTTGCATGATTCTGGTTAATCCAGTAAATTCTGTGACAAACTTCCCTACCGGTTGGAATTCTATTTGCAGAAAATATCTGGAGAGGGTACCCTAACAAATAAAGAATTCTTCTTCCACTAGCGTTTCTAACATGTCCTGCACTAGCCATATTAAATATTATTTTCTATATTGTAAAATACAACAGAATTGATCACAAAATATACAATGTTTTTATGTATATTTTTCATATATGTAAAAATTGTCATTAAGTAATTAAATGTATATTACTCAAATTAGAATTAAGTAGCAGTATACAATATATACTGCTACTGTTTTTCAACATCCTAATAACTGATAATTTATTAAAAATTTATTTCTTGTATTTTATCTCTTTTTTACCCCCATAAATATGTATATATAATTAATTAGCATTAGAATGTTCTTAACACATTTAAAAAAATCACCTTAAAAAATTGCCTCAGATATATAAGGAATGAGAGTGAAAATGTCATCATTTAAGATATTAGCATTTTACCAATGAAAATGAACACTTTAAAAACACTTTTTTCTCAGGTCTGTTTATTGGAATTAAATAAAAAACTATTATGTGTTTGTGTTTTATATTAAATGCATTATTATTTAAATAAAAAAGATGCTTATTTTTAATATGTAAATGGATTAAGTTGTCTGAAACTACCCTCCAAACATGTTTCTGATACCTTCCAATCATACCTCATTCATAAATACTAGTTTTAAAACCAATGAATTAAAGTATTTAACAAGTTTTTTTTTAAATAAATATTGTAAATACAAATGTCAATAGAAAATATCAATAAAAATGTATATATAAATACAAATGTAAATAAAAATGTATTATAATCAACAGAAAGTTATTAGTTTACATAAAGGTTATATTAATATGTGAATCAAATATGTTAATGCATTGCTCTTCTGGTGTTAGGAAGCAATATCTTACACTCCCGACCAATCGCTTTGGCATATTATGATAGACATTTTGCATCTATCATATTTTCACTCAAATAATGTTTTTATAGTATTTAAAATCACATGGCTTCTTTAGTTTAATCTGTACATCAAGTGTCCGGAGTTATGCCCGTCTGCGGCTTCTTGACTTTCCTCTCACTCTCTCTCTCTCTCTCTCTATCTCTCTCTCTCTCTCTCTCTCTCTCTCTCTCTCTCTCTCTATATATATATATATATATATATATATATATATATATATATATATATATATATATATATATATATATATATATATATATATATATATATATATACATATATATATATATATATATATATATATATATATATATATATTTAGATTTAAAAATGTATACATATAGATTTCCCCTATATAGATATTTTTTTTTAACAAACGTTAGCATACTCGTTGATTTGTTGCATCCTATATATATATATATATATATGTATATATATATATATATATATATATATATATATATATATATATATATATATATATATATATATATATATATATATATATATATATAAATATATATATATATATATATATATATATTTTTTTTTTTTTTTTTTTCTCTGAAAGACCTTTAAAAGAATCTTTAAATAGCATTCTCAAATCTTTTTAAAACAAGATTGATCATTACTTAATCAAAACGGCTTCTTTTTGATAAAATGTAACTTTTTTATTTTTCATTTTGGTAATGGATTTTGAGCCATCCTACCACTTCTTTGTAATTGTTATTTGTTCTCTATTCAAAATATATTATACTAAATGTAGTTGATTGCAGAGCTCTTTTAATTTTGTAAAGTAACTTTGCAGCTTGAAGCTTTACCAACGATCTTTTACAATCGATGTTTTATTTTTATCATTTTCACTTACGTTAATTGAAATATATAGAAAAAAGTGTTGCAATTATTATAATTTATTATAATATTTATCAGTATTTAAATAAACGCAACATTTTAAAAATATAGTTATTCTATCGTTTGACCTTGTTTTATATAAAAAAACGTAAAATAACAAAAAGTTTTATTTTATAGTTTATTTACATAAAATAGTAACATTTAAAATCTAATGTTTGTATTAACAAATTTAAATTGAAGTTTAAGTGTAATCAGGGATTATCTTTTTCCGGATATTTCCGGAATTCGGAATTTTTTTTTAAGTATTAATTTTTCCGGATATTCGAAACATTTTTAATAGATACAAGTTGAGGTATATATTTTTGTAATATATTTGTTTTTTAGGCTTTTTCACTCATCACTTATAGAAAAATTATGAAAAGTGTCAAAAAAAAAATTAAAAACAACTTAGCTAAAAGTGAAATTAAAAAGAAAATAAGGGAAAGCAAATTCCGGATTTTTTGCGGATATTTTATTCAAACAATTTTCCGGATTTTTTAAAAATATGACTAGGGTGATCTATGTATAATTAAAATACTTATAAACTGTAGCATTCTGAATTTTCTTGTTTTGTGTTGTTTTTTTTTTTCAAATTTTATCGTTTCCATAATGTTCAGATTTAGTGTTTGGCTTGGGTTTTTTAATTTGTAATTTTTTTAATAATTTATTTTTATTAGACAATGGTTGAATCTGGATGCCAGTGTCCGAAATTAATTTTAAGTGAAGAAGTTCGATTTGCTTATTCTGATGATTGTTATGGTGAAGTTCAAAATAGAGCTATCAAGTGCAGACTTCCTTGCTTAGATTATGATGGAACAAACAAATATATATGCGTTTTTGGTGCTGCTCTTGAAACTGGTTCGTGGTTTGTAGAAGAAGTGAGTGAAACTGAAAGATCCGAAAATCCTGATCGCTATAGCAACCGTGTTTATTGTAATCCTCCTAATCAAAATGATTGGGATCAATGTATGATTGTTCAAAATCTAAACAAAAATGTGCTGGTGTTAAGTGAAAAATCAGCCGATAAACAGAAAAAGCTTAAACTAAAATCACAAAAGAAACCTCCTCCAAAATCACGTATTGGTGCAGGTACTTTAGCAGCTCTAGTCGGTGGTGGTAAATAAATCATTTCTAAATAGTTTTTCAAAGAATGTAATGAAACAAAAATTATATTAAAATATGAAATTGTTTTAAAGATCCGTATGTTTTTTATGACCCGATGTACAAGCTACACCAATTCATATTCCACTACAGTAGATTCTAACCCAGTAAAAAAAAAGGCACATGCTCATAAAATGCAAGTTGCGTGTTCTTCCTTATTTTATTTACAATTTTTTTCTCAATAAAAGAATTAATATTTAAATACAAAAATATAAATAATACAAAAAAAGAACTTATTTTTTTTATTAAATAAATAAGTAATAGTGGATAAAAAGATATAATAAAAAATTAAGAAGATATAGTTAAATAGCAGAAAAGTTATTATAGGAGAAAAGTTAAGGAGATGTTCAAATACAATTACAACTATTTTTTTAAATCTACTTTGTCAATATTATATACATGGTGGCCACAGTCCTGGAATGTCGTGGAATGTCCTGGATTTTTGCAAGTGACCTAGAATGTCCTGAATTGTCCTGGAAAATTACATTTTTTTTCAAAAATGTCCTGGAACTTTTTTTTTTTCTGAGTCAAGTTAAAAAATTACTAAGAATGTTGGAGTAATATTAAATTTTTTATGCGAAATTTTTTTTTTATATAAATGGTTTGAATTTAATTTTAAATAAGAGAGTAATAATTATATAATAATATAATATTCTATTCTATAATTCAATCAGTATAAAAAAAATATACCGTAAAGATAATTGATAATATTCATTTATAAGGATATAAAATGTCCTGGAATATCCAGGAAATGTCCTGGAATTTAACTTTTAAAATTTTGTATATAGTGTCTACACTATATACTATAATATTTTAATATCGAATTTAATGCTTCTGCCGTTACTTATTCGTGCGTGTTTCCACAAAACTCACGGAGGCCATAACACTCGAATTATTAGCGAGAAAAAGTCGCAGCACTTTTTGTATAAGAAATTGTGAACGAAAGTGTATGGAAATATGTAACTTATGTAAACTTTAAAGACTTACTAGAATATGACGCAATTCACTTACAAAGAAAGTCTAAAAAAAGAGGTGGTGGTGTTGTTATTTACGTCAAAAATAGCTTACGGTTTATATGCGAAATGTCATGTGCATATCTGAATGCAACGGCGAATTTGTTTCGATTGAAATAGTTAATGATAAGACCAAAAATATTTTAGTAACTTGTTGTTACAAACCGCCAAATGCGTCCACAGAAAATTTCTCAAATCATCTCCAGAATATTATTCAAAAAGTTACTCTAGAAAAAAAAAAACTGTTTGTCTTAGGTGAATTTAATATTAACGCCCTAAATTATGACAATGATATAGAAAGTCAAAACTTTTACAATGATTTATTTCGATATGGTGTGATCCCTTTAATAAACAGACCAACATGAATAACAAGAAATTCTGCATCATTAATAGACAATATATTAACTAATTTTTTATTTGAAAACTCGTTAAAAAAATGAATAGTTGAAGCACCAATTTTAGATCACATGCCAATTTTCATATCTGCAAATACGTCAAATAAACAAAAACAAAAACAAAATAAAGTCACATTTACTAGACGCCTCCTATCATTAAACAATCAATTAGCGTTTCAAAATCTGGTCTCCATTAGAATCATTCAATGATGCTAATGGAGACCAGTCTATATTTCCTAGTTCATTTTGACGACAAATATCTATAAAATAAGTGCATAAAGACCAAGGCGGAATATAAAAACTACAGGACTTTATTTGAGAAAATCAAACGAACTGCAAAATCAAACTATTATAAAAAGAACTTGAAAAGTGTCAATTAAATTCTAGGAAAACTTGGCAAGTACTAAATGAAATAATTGGAGAACCGAAAATCAATCAATCTTTCTTTCCGAAAATCTTACATATTAAAAATAAAACTATTGCCAATGAAAACAATATAGCAAATGAATTTAACAATTTTTTGTGATATAGGACCTAAACTTGCGGCAAAAATTCCAAATGTAAATAAATCATTAAGGAATGCCTTCATTACAATAAAAATAAATTTAAAAATGAGAATTTAACCTTTAAAGAATACGAAACAGCTTTTAAACGTTTGAAACGTAATAAATCTTCTGGAATTGATGGTATAAACAGCAACATTGTTATTGACTGTTATAATGAGCTAAAGTGCCTTTATTTAAAATTTGTAAACGTTCTCTGAATGAGGGTATCTTTCCTAATATACTTAAATCAGCAAAAGTTAAACCTATATATAAATCAGGCGATAAAACGGATAATGGAAACTAGACCAATATCTATACTTTCCATTTTATCTAAGACTTTTGAGCGAATTATGTTCAATAGGTTATATGCATTTTTTAAAGATAATGACTTATTCTATTCAAAACAGTTTGGATTCCAGAAAAGCACTTCAACTGAACATGCAATACTTCACTTAATTAATGAAATAAAAAACTCTTTTGCAAACGGAGAATTTACTTTAGGCGTGTTTATTGACCTCTCTAAGGCCTTTGACACAGTGGATCATAAAATAATGATAAAAAAGCTTAAGGTGTATGGCATAAGAGGCGTATCCTGCAGGTGGATAGCAGATTACCTGAGTAAACGTACACAGTCCATATATTACGGAAATAAAAGACTTACAAATTCATCTTTAATTTCTTGTGGAGTGCTCCAAGGATCTATTCTTGGGCCTCTACTTTTCCTAATATACGTGAATGATCTCTGAAGAGCGTCAAATATATCAACAATAATGTTTGCTGACGACAGTAACTTTTTTATTTCAGGAAAAGATATACCTCAACTCTTCGTACAAATGAACAACGAGTTAGATAAAATTTCACTATGGTTCAATGCAAATAAACTTTCTATTAATTCAAATAAAACAAAGTTCTCATTATTCCACCCTTAAAAAAAAAAAAAAAAATCCTATTTCTTTTCCAAAACTAGTTATTGAAAACACAGAAGTTAGTCGCAAAAGAGTCACAAAATTTCTTGGTGTTCTCATTGACGAAAATATTACCTGGAATAAACATATTGCCTATATTGGCAGCAAAATATCAAAAAGTATTGTCTTTCTATATCAGTCACGGGATTTACTTAATAAGCATCATCTATGACAAATCTATTTCAGTTTTATACAAAGTTACTTGAATTACGCGAATATTGCGTGGTGTAGTACATCTAAAAGCAAGCTTGAAACACTCTATCAAAAACAAAAACATGCCTTAAAAATAATGAATTTTAAAAATAAAAACGAACATGCAAAACCACTGTTCGAAATTATGAGTATTTTTACGTTATACGAGATAAACGTTTATAAAATTTTATGTCTCATGTACAAAAGTAAATTTCAACAATGCCCCTCAATTTTTAATGATCTTTATGAAATAAAACCTAACATTAAATATACTTTACGCACAACAGGCTTAATTGAACCATTGTGTAAAACTAAACAAGAACAATTTAAAATTACGTATCGTGCCTCGTATATCTGGAATAAAATCTTAGCAAAATATAGTAATTTACCAGGTGTAAACAATATAAATTGCTCTCAAAAACTAATAAAAAAGAATATTTCAAAGTATACAAATCTTATTAATGATTTCTTTTAAACTGCTTTGTTTTTTTGTTTGTTTGTTTTTTTGTTTTTGTCTTTTTACATTGAAAAGTTTTTGGTTTTAACACTATTTACTTAGTTAATTAAGTTTTGATTTTAACACTATTATAGGAATTTAATATTGTAAAAACATAATTACAACGGTTCTTGATGATAAGACTTAATGGTCTTCTGCAAGTTTCCCGCGTTTTTATTTATTTTTGTATAACTAACTCTTATTATTTTGTCTTTTTTTATATTTATAACTGGTTTATTTTTGAAAGAATAAGAGTATCTGGTATTATATTACGGAATTTAATTGTAACAAAATCGGAAAATTAAATTAAAAAAAATAAATAATAATCTTAACATATATCAAGTTTTACATTTATTTGCCTTGCTGGAGTTAATAGTAGGGATGGCTCTTTTATTTACTTTTTTTTTTACTTATACGAGTTAATTTGGATCAAAAAGTAAATTAAATAAGTAATTTTAAACTTTTTATGTAAACTTACATTTCTGTGTAAGTAATTTATTTTTTTGAAACAACTTTTACTTTATAATGTAAGTTTTTTTACTTTTGTAAAGTTTTTTTACTTTCAAAAGTAAGTTATGTAAAAAAAGATTACATCAAAAAGTAATTTACTTTTACATGTAAAGGTAAGTAACGTAAAAAAGCTGTTTACTTTTACATTTAAAAGTTAATTACTTTTGAAAATAACATTACATAATATAAAAGTTCCTCAAACTGTAATTTACATTTGCCTATAAAAGTAACTAATTAAAAAAAAATTGCGACCGTGGCGCATTGGTTACCGGTCGTGGCGCAGTGGTTAAAGCGCTTGCTTTATAAGCAGGAAATCCAGGTTTAAAACGAGCTTTGAACATATTTTCGCGTCACGGTAAGGAGGGAGGTGTGAACTTCCTAGTTAAATGCATTTCCGCGGTGATCTGTGACAATACCGTTAGGTCTTCTTGGGGCACCTAAATAACAAAAAAAAAAAAAAAATATTCAAGTTAAAGTATAAAATTCCATATAAAAGTAATATGCTGGCAAATATAAATTAGATTTCCAAAAAAAAAATTATATTTTTTAAGTAAGAATTTTTTATATTAAAAGTAATAATAAATCTTAATTAAAAATAAGTTATATAAAATAAAATTTAAATTACATAAGCTTACATTTTATATAACTATATAATGATACTTTTTAAATTATATTTTATAAAATAAAGTAAATTAAAAGTAACTTATATAAAGTAAGTAAATAAATATACTCAAATTTTACAATAACTATGACAGGATCTTGTACAAAAGTAATGTAAAAAAGTAAAAATTTAAGGCACCTTCGTCAAGTTTGCCGCAACATTCGATTTGCGCGGTTCTGGGTATTTCTTTACTGTAAAGTTTGAAAATATCAATAATAGGTTTCCGCCCATGATCATGTAGAAGGCACATATACCCATG